AACTAAATACTTGAGACTTCAACGCTGTAATGGACAGCAAGATAAATAAATTATGGTTGTACGTGGCGTATGAGTAACCGGTCATGCAAACGTCGCGGCACACCCCCAGCAACACCATAAACGGTGCGTGTAAGTATTAATTACTAACTAAGGTGGTAGTAAACTCCATCAGCGCTACTTAATGACAATTGAAGGCTTCAGTACGTCGGCATGAGAACGAGGATCGGTGAAGACTTCAACTTGTTGTTGTTTGAGTTTTGTTTGCACTTTGAGGTGCAGCCTTGACAGCAGGCACACGCGAGTTTTGTTCTGTTTTTGCGAAACTAGGTTATAATTCGCCATGACAACACCAAACAAGCGAATGGTCATTGTGCGTACTATGTGAGAATCCTTCTACCTGTCCAACAACATGTATGGATATGTAACATATCTATACAAGTATATTCATAACATAGACAATAAACAAAAGTTCAACATGCAACAGTGAAAGAAGTTCATAGAAAACAGCTGGATGTTTCATGGCTTCCATATAAGTACATAGTCAGTATACATATTTACATACATACTTATACATATATACATAGAAGCTGAAGTCATATTTGTGCTACTAGGTTATGTATGATGTGCATACATCTATATATGCATCACTGTTTATTTGCCAATTTTTATTAACCCATTTTTATTTGCGCAATTTCAGTAATTCTAGCGGTAATGGGCGAGAATTTCACTTTTTAAGGGTCGTTGCTCTTCGTAGGACAACTGAAATTCTTATTAATACTATTTGAATGGCAGTTGAGGACGTCCTGCTTCTCCTACTCTTAACTCTAATGAAACTAAATAAATAACAATTTCAATGGAGACAGTTTTTCAGAAGCCATTTATCAGTAAAATCTACCAGTTGCCACAGTATGTGCTGAGCTATTCGCAAAGTCATAGTTCGATGAAATTGTGGATGCCATTGTTATATTGTAGAAGATAAATCATTCGTAATAATAAATAAATTATAATAAATCCATTAAAATAAATTGTAATAGTGATGCATCCTTACGATAACCTTCTCGCTATGAGATCTCGTCATTTATGAATACATCGAAGACTAAACTTCACACAAATGGGGATATGAGGCAGCTCTCATCTAAATGAGGTGGAAATCGAGGCATTCTCTTTATAGCTACCACTTACGTTAGGTTAGGTTAAGTAAATAGGCAGATTTTTTTTATGAAGCCAAGAATACTCCCACTTGGATAGCTAGAGACGCCTGTCCATTGTAATACCCAGAACTCCAAGGTATGGATCAAAAAGACCGTCGCATATCGATAAATTACGTAGAGCCAGCCAATTTGCAAAGTTTGTAACAATTATTCAACCTTAGTTTGGCGAAAGTTAGACAGTGGAGAAGAAAGTGTCAAGATGTTTCCACCTCATCTTCCTCTTTGCAACTTTGACAAACTGCCTTCTTCAAAATCATCGGTTTTACAGTAGCCTCCAGTTACTATCCTACTAAATCTTCATACTTGCGGTTAACTTTCCATCCAATATATCGCTCTATTAACAAGATATCTTTATGAAATGAAGTGATGATCCAAATCAAATTTGACGGGAATTTGGAGCAAAAATTTGGTGAAATTGATAAAGTTTTTCCCCGTTCAAAAAATAGTTGTAAGAGATTTCGCTTTTTAAGGGATTATATCCACTTTTGAGTAAAAAAAATTGTGTTCTTTGCATACAGGTACCTTTATATGTATACGAAATGCATATACATGTGAGAATATTTTCTGATAAATAGTTTCGGTGATATAAGCATATTTGTAAGAATATTTTAACTTAGTGTTATTTGCTCCCACAACTTTAAACGTGTTGTTTCGAAACACTGTTTTCAGAGTAGGGCTGGGTGGACCACCTTGAAATTTAACAAGGCCTGCATAAATATGTTTTTCAAGAATCAATAAATGTTTATGGTTGTTTAATTCGAAATAATTTGAAGCAGAAAAATCTTTCTCACCGCCAGACATATTTCTTCGGAGGTCCTGCTGAAGATCTTATAGTTTAGTTTAGGTGCAATCGCTGATCCTCTTGAACTACTATATGAAAATTTTTGTGAAGCTTGCGATTCCGATGTGACCTGGCATCCATACTAGTCTTATCACAAAGTATCTCGCAGCCATTGATAATGAGGTTAGGTATTCCTTAACCAACCCTAAAAGCACGGTTAGTGAGATCAAGGCTAGTATCACCGCCCTGCTATCATAGTGGATAGTCACTTCTCTGAAGGAGGCTACACTCCCTAACAATAAGTCTGCCGCTACCTTAATGGCAGTAAATTCGGTTTGAAAAATACTGCAATAGTCAGGAAATCTAAAACAAAAGTTGGCTGAGAGTTCCTGACAATATACCTCTTCCCCCCAAGCTTTGACCCAAATAAAGCGTTTTTGCTGACTTGCAAGTGGATATAATACTTTAATTCGATTAGGTACTAACAATAAATCGGTATTAAGATATTTAGAACTTAAACAATAAATATTCGCTCCACTTCCATGGTTGGCTTAGAGTTAGTAAATGTGGAGCACGTTGTTTTGTAAGCAAAAAAAATGTTCGAGGGTAGTTAGCCAACTGCGCTTCTCGTAGCTAAACTACAGCTAGCAGTATGTGTGTGGCGTCGACCAATATCAATGGAGCCAGGACAACTGCGACCATCAGCCAATGATAACAAGAAGAATAATCAACATAGAAAGCTAAAAATTAGAACACGCGCCACAGCGGCGCCACTTGTCTGGCTGCCTTGTGCCTTGTGATGCCCTTTGAAACTATGTTACTCGGGTAGCAATACAAAATTGGCGCCAAGCGTTGACATATCCGGCGGAAGGATTTCGTGTGGCACAGAAACGCAAGAAGATGAATTAAATGAAACGAGAATAATTGTGAAAAGAATTGTGCATATTTTGAAGCGCAATTCATGCAAACACTTAAGTCACTGTTATGAAGATTTTATTACCAAGTTATATGCACTGGTCGCTTAATAAATCACTTGAGGATGATGATGATTTATCCTTTGCACCTACACTTTCCAAACAACAAGTTGCTGTTTGCACTTCAATGACATTTAATACAATTTAAAATCCCACAAAAGATTGCCATCAGAGACGTCAATTAATTTTGATTTCTTGCACACACACATATGGATATTTTCAAAAGAGAAAGCAAATTACAGAGCTGGCGTCCAACTGACTGGGACTTCATGCCGGAATGTGCCACTAACTAGTACACAACAGTTATAAAAATTCCCATACTTTCTTTCTCTGTATTTATGAGCGTTCTTTCACGAATCTTATTACCCATCAACATACGTACATACGTATGTATGTACACACATAGTAATAAACATATACATATGTACGAGTATATGCTGATGTCACCACTTTATATATGAAGCATGAGCATATATTACTATAGCCATACACATGTATCTGCAGCCTACATTGACTTTCAGCCACATATATTCCTTTCACTACTTTCAACTATTACAATTTATTTTCATAAGGACAAATACCACATATACAGATGTGTTAGCGGTGAATACTTCGGTGATAAATATACATAAATACTTACAGTACATATTTTCTTATAATAAATTAAAAATTCTTTCATACCTATATAACAAAATCGATAATTTAAGGTACAATGCAAAAGTTTGGATTAAAGTTAGGTTAAAAAAAGGCTAAGGCAAACTGAGATCCACCAGCATGAAATAAATAAAATTGAAACCTTTTAATTGAACGTGTACTGTTTCGGACTTCATCAACAAGATTTAGACCGTGAATCACCATTATGTGAAGTATTAACGAAGTTTGAGTTTTCCAATTTTCAACCGTGCTTGATACACTCAACAAATGACTTTGAAGTATCATATCTGCTTTAATTTATTTATTATATGGAAGGTTGGGTTAAGGAGAGTGGATGTCTGATGACGCACCTCTCACTCTATTATGTCCTCTCTGAACCAACTTGTGCTTGTGATGAAGTTCATCAATACAAAAAGTTTTATCTGTACAAGCTCCGAAACATTGTTAAGAAATTCTCGACCGATACATAGAAGATGTTTTAAAGTCTCCTAGTTTTTTACCTCTTGACAACTTCTGCAAAAGTCGTTTTTTGGTATTCCCAGTTTACTGGCATGTCTGCCAATTAGACAGTGACCTGTTAGCACTCCTGCTAGAGTTTCTATGTCATTCCTTTTGAATTTTAATAGTCGGCATGTTCGGCCCATATTTCATTATTGACACGTTTGTTTGCTTGATGAGCAAGTTAGGCATTGACTCCACCGAGACTAAGCTATATCTATAACATGTTTGTCGATTAAATATCTACGAGTAGCCAGAGGTATATATATGGCATATTCCTTCTTTATCGGATTCTAGTTATAGGGTGGTGCCTGCTCTGGCCAGTTCATCTGCTTCACAGTTATTAGGAATATCACTATGGTATGTCTTGAAACCCATTGCAGATCCCTGTCCACCTCACCCCTTTCCTACTCTTCTCTGGTAGTGTAGGTAATATTGGGGACCGAATCAAGTTCAATATGATTTTGAAAATCCGTGGAATTGGGTAGAAACATATATAACCCACAATTGAATTTCATGCTTATTCAGTTGCTTTGGCAGCTATATGCTTTAGTCAACAGATCTGAAAAATTTATTAAGATAACGTAGTATTGCTTTGGGTAATAATCAATGCCAAATTTCTTGACGATATCTCGTCAAATACAAAATTTTATCATACCAGAACTTGATTTTGATGGGTAAATCAACTCAGCTCGCCATGCTGCCATTTGGTCAAGTAAATATGTATATAAATTTTATAGGGGCTCCGACAATACCTTCTAGGTGTTACAAACTTAGCAAACCCTGTTCAGGGTATACCATAAATATTATCGGCCGTGACACTGGCTGTATTGAATCAATCTTCTGAAATTTATGTAAACTCTTCTACATTCAATTTTTCAGCGGAGCCAAAACAGTTGCAGTGTTGGCACTGCAGCTCGGAGACAATTGGTGCGGAGGACTTCTGTAAAGAGAGCTTCGATGAGGATGGTATTCCCGATGAGGAGATGAGGAGGGAACACAATATCAATGTCTTACGCAACTGCAGCAGCACCGCAAATTCGGAGCATGAGCAAGCCGTTTGCCGTAAGACAGTTGAAGAGAGTAAGTAAAACTTTCACTATATTCAACTAAAATGGCGGTACTGCATTTGTCACGGCTTATGTTCTCTTTGCAGTCAATGGCAAAGTGGTCACAAAACGTTTCTGCTATTACACCAACAAATCCGACTCGTTGGATCGCTGCATGGAAGAGCCAACTGAGAAAAATGTCGTGCGGATCTTCTGTCAGGATTGTCAAAAAGATCGCTGTAACGGCGTTGGCAAACAGTTTGTCACATGGCTCAGTCAACTACTGCCACTGTTTATGGCCAACTCCATGCGCTTTTAAATTCTGCAACGTATGTATGTAATTGCGTGGCAGAAGCGATACTTTGAGTTTTATACGATTTTTGTTAGCGTAGTGAAAGTTAGTTTTTTCCATAAATTTAGATAAAATATGTTTTTTTAAGAACTACACTTACTTGGTAAGTTTCGCTTGATACTCATGTTTCCATTTAAGTTCTAGTATAAGATAGATTATTTTCGTATTATATAAACTTTGTGCCATTGAATAGCCGTAAGTATTTATTTAATTAAACTGAATCTAGTATTATTTGAGGAAATGTTGAAAGACATTTAAGGGGTTAGGTGTAGTCAGAGACACGCAAAAATTACAATTTTAATTTTTGTTTTTTTGGCTGTAAATTATTTTATTTTAAAAAGTAAAAGCATAGCATCATTAAATAAAGTTTTGGATTGACTTGACAGAAATATGAAAAAAACATTAATAATTTTAAGAGTAATGACTAAAAATTCATCTAGTTATAAACGAAGCTTCTTGCGGTGACCATCACTAATCTAAAATCAATCCAAAAAAAGTTAATTTATTAATAGATAATCTAGTGCCTTTTTTAAATTAAGCAAATGGTGATCTCAGGAAATTTTCTTCCAGATTTTCGGGCAAAAACCAAAAGTTGATTGTTTATAAAAAATCGAAATTAAAAAAAATCTTCGATCAGGCACCAGTTCTTCGTGTTGTTAAATACAAAACTGTCTAAATTTAATTGAAATCTGCCGAGCGGTTTTGGAGCTTGAGTAGTCACCAGCTCAAAAAACATATTTTTGAAAAAATACGCGATTGAAGTTTTACACTCTATTTACGTAAAGTAATATGCATTATTTAATAGATCCAATATTCTAGAGCTCCTTTGCTAATTATCGAATAACAGAAGAATAAGATATTATTCTTTAAGAAAATATGAAAAAATATTTTAAAATTCTGACTACTTATAACCTCTTAAATATTTAGGCACTTAACATACTTTAAAACTTCACTTAACTTAAGTTAATAATTTAACTTAACTTAACTTAGCACAAATAGTTTATTTTATGTAATTTATTGCAATATTTAAAAGTACTTAATCATAAACTTGTGTGAAAAACCATAAAAGCTGAAATGAAAGCTTTATTCCAAGCGCGGCTGTGTCCTCGTAGCACAATGACGACTTGTTACATTTTTGTTTGAACTATGCCTTCAAACAAATTCGTATCTTTCTTGGAACGCAGTATCAAATTTCGAATTTAAAACAAACCAAAACAATAATGAGGATCGTTATGAATTCACACTCACGTTCAAAAAACATAAAAAAATGTATAAAAACTGATCAAGAAGTAATTGAATCTTGAATCTTTTACAGACATAAGTAGACAAGTTATATGTTGTTGTTAGTCGTATCCATAAACAATATATTAGATAACAAAAAAAATTTTAATTGTATTCAAAAAGTGTTCATAACTTCACTGCACATAATTACCACACACGTGTATGCACTCCAATTGAAAAAAAAATTGCAGAATTAAATAAATCATATTCAGCGATCTGAGAAATAACGTTCTTTAAATAAAACGTGTGGTTTTATTACAATAACGCGGTAGTTTTTGTAATTCATTTGTGGTTAATTTTGATATTTTTTTTCCAATGAAAAGTAGGTTATGCATAATATTAACTTAACACTTCCGCATCAAGCGGAGTCAAGTACAACTACTAAAACTGGGTCATACAATGTTAAATATATAATATATGTCATATACATATGTGTAATAATTGCCGTTTATTTTTTAGATATATAGTTTTAAGGAGCCAAACCATTTTCCGGAATTGGCCTTTTTGATACATAGCTATTACCTGATTAATACTCAGTTTGGCTTGCCGTTTCATTATGAGCAGATCTAATCCGGAACAACGTTTGCAAGTACTGCAAATTGATTACCAAATAATGCGTCCAATATAGGTCGACATAATCGTCCAGCAGAGTCGGTAATTCGAGCAACCATGGATCGGGTTCGCACCACGTTTGCTCTAGTGGGTAATGCTCTTCCAACGAGACGTCATACAGTGCCGACGACGTTATTGCTGCTGGGAAGCAGAGTATCGAAGAGGACCCGAATGACTCCCTCCGCCATCGCGCGCCTCAATTGGAGCTGTGCCTATCCACTTTATGAAGGACTTTGCTGAAGGATCTTTTTTTGCAGGCTTACAAAATCCAAGTCGTGATCGGCCAATGGGCCCAAAACAAGAGCGCCACCGATCGCGTTTCCACAAGATAATTTTGTTCAGCGATGAAGCTCACTTTTGGTTGAATGGGTACGTTAATAAACAAAATTTTCGGATTCGGAATGATGATAATCCACAAACCGTTGTTGAGACGCCGTGACATCTACAAAAAGTTACTGTTTAACGTGCTCTATTGGCATATATCTTCACAAATGAAACCGGCCATAATGTTACAGTCAATGGGGAACGCTATAGAGTCATCATTAATGACTCGTGCTTGAATTCGAGTTGATGTTGATGAGGACGACGTTGGGTTCCAACAAGACGGCGCTACACGAAACAATCAATTTATTGGGGGAAACCTTTGGTAAGTGTATTATCCCGCGCCGTGGCCTCCAAGGTCGTCTAATTTGACACCGCTGGACTATTTTTTTGCTGCAAAAAGTGACTTCGGGTAGAACATAGTCGCTGTGGTGCTACCGATGTTAACGTTTTTGTTTGTTCTTTTTACTCACACGGCCTCGAAAAGACTGCATGTACGGTGGTTGGCCGAATGACAGGTCACAAGCTACTGACATCACATGCGAACCGAAGCGGCATAAGTAATGACAATACATGCAGAAATGAGAAAGACGCTAGAGCACCTCCTATGCTTCTGTCCAGCGCTATCTATCAAGTCGCTCTTATAGTTCGCAAAAAGGGGTTGACGTCCTGTATGACGAATACTTCAGCACAAATTAAACTGAACATCCATCTGGCATTACTAAGAACCAGTGAGACTGTGTATGGTGTGACAACCAGTCAGTATAACCTAACTTAACCAACGTTCTTTTGAAATGCCAACAATGTCAACTAACTTACACAATTTCATTTTTACGGTCACCCAACACAGTTGCGACGCCTTTCAGCATTTTTCGTTACACCTGTCAAACATGGCTTTGCATTAGTGGTGTTTTCCTCCATCAGAAAACAATATTTTATCAAAATCGAAATTCACTTTTTCCGCTGTAAACAAAAGTAGCAGAAATACTGTCAATATGAGACCAGTAACTTCTCTTCTCTTCTTATCGAAGAAAATAACACAAAACTTTGACAGCGTACTAGCTAGGGCTAGCAGGAGAGAGAAAATATTTATTTCTCAGGCAAAATTTTAAATCTGACTTCAGATTCACTACACCGAAATGTCAGTGGCGTTGAAAAATTAATTCAGACAACGGTGTTCAAAGAATCATATACGAGTATATTATGGTATAATTACATTTTATTGTAATGTAATACAGACTTGTTTCTCTCGGCCCACCACCTTATTTACGAAAGGTAATGTATGGAAGTTATTAATGTGAGATGTGCCTAATAAAGTCTATAAAACCCAAGCAAAAACTGTGTTGGCACGTCTCGCAACTCGGCAGTTGCCTCTATCTTTGCGAGATCACGCCTGCAGCCATTGATCTCAACATCTTCCATTTTTTGAATTTTATGCGCTTAACTGTATCCATGTCGCCGTAGAGCTCATAACAGTTCTCTCTAATGCTGCTTTCTCATCTTTGTTTATTCTCGTCCATGTTTCTGCACCGTATAATAGGACGGTAATAAGAAGAGACTTATAGAGCGTAATTTTTGTTCGTCGAGAGAGGAGGTCTGCTTCTCAATTGTTTGCCGATCCCAAAGTAGCACCTGTAATCAAGATTTTGGACTTTGTATATCTAATACGCTCAAGATGTCATTTCGGCTAACAACACAGCGGCAAATGGCCAAACTTACAGTCATGCTAAGTAATTTTGGCAAACATTTTGTGGAGTTCAAGGGTAACATGTTCGCTTTTTCCGTACAAAGGTATAGGCTTATGTAGCCGATAACGAAGGTGTGTAGTAAGCAAACAAAATATACAACAGGAAAAAATTAATAAATAAATAGCAGTCAGTCACGCCATTTGCTTCAAGAACATGCAATTTTAAAGGCGTTTTTACACCACAAAATATTTGCGAATTTGCATATCAGCCATTACATATTATATTTTTTTGTTGGCCCTTCAAGGCCTACTTATTATCAAGGTGAACTCAATTTCGGACACGCACAATTGAAAAGTGTCCGTGTTATTGTGTTAAACGATGCCGGTCGATAAGGCAGTTCAGCGCGATTCGTATAACCATGCTTACCACAAAAGTCTCACACTTACATAAATATGTGGGCTGAACGAAAGGGCGTAATATGGATATGTGTAGGAGACATAACCACATAATAATAATGGCAAGTATTCATTTTCAATTTTATTAAAATACTAGCTGACTCGGCGAACTTTGTACTGCCATAGCGTAGCTTTGATGCACTACTTTATTTATTATAGCTGACAGATGTCATATCTTAAGTATGAGTACCTATTCAATTAAAACTGGAATCTATAATATCCTCCATATAAAAATGAATCCCTATTTCCCTGGTCTCGCCATAACTGAGAAGGACTTTACTAATTTCATAATTTTATTAGGATCATTCCATGTCAAATCGACAAATAGTTGGACGCGACCCCCACCGATTTGGATGAATTTTGGCAAAGAGCTTTGTCTCATCATAAAACGAAGTTCTGCCAAAGGAAAAAATTTTAAAAAATTTTTCCTAAGAGTTATTCAAAATTGAAATTTTCACTGTTTTTCCGATTTCATGTGTTTATTTATTCAATATTTCAGAAACTATTGTATATCATGAAAAAATCGCTGGTGCGTTCATAGAGGACACTAAGAGGTATAAGAAAAAAAATTTTTTGAAAAAAAAAAATTTGAAAATTCCCAAAATTAAAATTTTTTCAATTTTTCAAAATTGTGAAAAGTACCCGTCGCGGGACAATTTTGGCCTCAAAATTTTTATACTCTCGCAACCTGTTGCTACAGAGTATAATAGTTTTGTTCACCTAACGGTTGTTTGTATCACCTAAAACTAATCGAGTTAGATATAGGGTTATATATATATAAATGATCAGGATGAAGAGACGAGTTGAAATCCGGGTGACTGTCTGTCCGTCCGTCCGTCTGTCCGTCCGTGCAAGCTGTAACTTGAGTAAAAATTGAGATATCTTTATGAAACTTGGTAGACATGTTTCTTGGTACCGTGAGACGGTTGGTATTGCAGATGGGCGTAATCGGACCACTGCCACGCCCATAAAACGCCATTAATCAAAAACAAATAACTTGCCATAACTAAGCTCCGCAATAAGATACAAGACTGTTATTTGGTACACAGGATCACATTAGGGAGGGGCATCTGCAGTTAAAGTGGGCGTGGTCCCGCCTCTAATAGGTTTAATGTGCATATCTCCTAAACCGCTAATGCTATAATAACAAAATTCACTAGAAGCAAATGTTTTTAGACCTTCTACCTACAGTGTGAAAATAGTTGAAATCGGGTGGCAACTCCACCCACTCCCCATATAACGGTACTGTTAAAAACTACTAAAAGCACTAAACACGCCAGAGACATTAAATTTTATCTCTGAGATGGTATAAGATGACTTTATAGGAACCGCGTTCAAAATTAGACAGTGGGCGTGGCACAGCCCACTTTTAGGTGAAAACCCATATCTTGAGATCTGCTCAACCGATTTCAACCAAATTCGGTGCATAACGTTCTTTTCATGTTTCTATGTCATAGTGCGAAAATGGGCGAAATCGGACTACAACCACGCCTATTTTCCATATGACACCATTTTCCATTCCATCTGATTCTTTCACTTTCCACTATGCATATCAAGCAACAATGATTATATCGGAGTAAAACTTTGCGTGAATAATACGTTTAAAGTATGCCACCTTGCGGCCAAAAATTGTCTAAATCGAACCAAAACTGTTCAATCCCCTAAGTACTAAATATGTGGACCCCAGTGCCTATAGTTGACCTTCTACCGAAAATATCAGTCAATCCACAAAGAAATCTCAAACGAGTATACCAATTGACTTTGCGAGAGTATAAAATGTTCGGTTACATCCGAACTTAGCCCTTCCTTACTTGTTATTTATATGTTTTATTAATATTACCGTCAAAGTCGGTACATTTAATTGTGGCGAGTAATTTTCAAAAATTAGTAAATTAGTGCGATAGAATTTAATTAAGAACCACATTTCCGAACAAACGATGCTCTCTCAATATAGTCTATGGCTGTGAATGACCTTGACATTCGTTACGCGCGTTTTTTAAAATATGCAAAATTTAATGTATAATATTTTTTCAATCTTTCTGGGACATTTTCTTAATATTTTTTTCCGTAAGAACCTTCTACAGAGTAGCCAAATCGGTCTAGTCGTTCTCAAGTTATGGCGTGACAACGGGAAACGGGTTTCATTTTTATATATATAGATTTTTGAGAACTGCTTAATAATGTTGTA